CAAGAGTACATATCACTTAATATTTGACAAAGACGACAAACATAAGCTGGAGAAACGAAAACATCTTCAACAGATGGTGCTGGGAATTCACAAGTGAAACAATGAAATCAGACCCATATTTATCACCTTGCACAAAACCTACTCCAGAAAACTTGAGTGAAGTTGAATTTAAAGATAAACTAATCTATTTTAAGGAAGAAAGTTGTACAAAAAACTTAGTTTTGGCCGGGCGGTGGTGGCGCACGCCTTTAATCCCAGCACTCGGGAGGCAGAGGCAGGCGGATCACTGTGAGTTCGAGGCTGGGCTGGACCGATAGCCTCCAAAACAATACAGAGAAACCCTGTCTCGAAAAACCAAAAAAAAAAAAAAAAAAAAAAAAAAAACCTTAGTTTTGGACATGGAGAGTGCAGAAAACAAAACAACTTTCACTAGTAAAGAGATTAACACATTAAGAAGAAACTTGGCATCCTGAATGAGGCAACAGGAATGTGTTTGTTTCCTCCCAGTCAACACACACAAGCTGATCTAGTGGCGGTCAAACGGCCTGGGCTGTCTTGAGCTAGCAAATACTGTGAGCATCATTCACTCGGGGGCCGCTTTTGGAAACAAGAAAGATGAGAGACTTGAAGGGGCGTTGTCATGGAGAACACCTGAGGAAGGGTTAGCACTGAGTGGCAGGATCAGCGTCTCTGCCAAGAAGCCCTGAGATGCCATTGTGTGAGGTCGTGACGGTGGAGCCTAAGTTGCTGTGGAGATCCCAAGATACTGGAACTGTCAGGGCGGTGGGACATCTGCTGAGGAACTTGAAGGCATGGAGTGGAGCCAGCCTAAGAATCTGTCTGTGCTGCAGGCAGCAGATCTGGAGGGACAGAGCTGCCTAAGCATTTTGGAGCCCAGCCAGTTTCATCACAAGCTCCAGACACTGCACATGGACCTACAGGGTTTGGAGTTTTCCCTGCTCGATTTTGGTCTTGCCTTGCTTCTTACTGTGCCTCAGTTCTCCCATTTTAGAATGAAGATGTTTACTCTTATAAAAACGAACATATCTTGGTTTGTCTCATAGAAGCTCAGAGTGAAGAGGCTTCGTGCTTTTAAATCTGGACTGAATGTGCTTTACATGATAAGATGGCCAGTCTTGCCTGGAACTCAAAACTGAATGAGTGGCTCTCCTCCTAAGACCTGTGGTTCAATCATGCATCACCAATATCTGGATCCTATGGGGATTTCCTACATTAAATTAATACAGTACAATAGATTTTCTGATCATAAAAAATATTCATGTGTTCATCATAAAAAACAAATATGGTCATTGGTGCAATAGAGGCATGAATATTATGGAAGTAACCAATCTTTCTGATTGTATTTAAGGCCCACTCCAAAGAACTTTCATCTAATACTGCAAACCTGGGCAAAGATCCTAAGGAAGAACTACTTCTATTTGTATTTTATTTTGTACTTTTATTATGATATAGTATCAAACTGCCTTCTGAATACTTACCTTTATACCCATGGATTAGAGCAGCTCCTCAGCCCTCATCGGAGAAGCTTCGTTTTTGAAAGGGCCGGTGGTTAATACAGACTGGTCATAACTGGTCAGAATGTAGTGGAGAAGTGATGGTGACGTGCTCAGCCATAATGGTCCATAACTACCACACCACATGGTGAAGTGCTCAGCCATAATGGTCCATAACTACCACACCACATGGTGAAGTGCTCAGCCATAAATGGTCCATAACTACCACACCACATGGTGAAGTGCTCAGCCGTAAATGGACCATAACTACCACACCACATCCCCCAAGGGCTCTTGGAACATCATAGGAAAGGTGGTAGAGATGTTGTAAGAGCTAGTTATTGAAAGGGACTGCTGCAAAACAGTGTCTTCAGACACGACAAAGCTAATGCACTCATGAACACACAGCAGCGTGGTTGCCTGAGGAAGATCAAACCAGTAAACATTACAGTAAGTAAGGGAGAGAGACTCTCAAAGTCCCATCCCGGTCTGAAGAGGTATTGGTAGATGCTTGTTGTGGGGGAGAGCATTTTTCTTTGTGATTATGCCCCTTGGCAGAGGCTATTCATGCTCCAGTGTATGGTCCCAAACATATTAGCAGCACAACCTGAACTCCATGGGCTATAAAAAGAAAAAAAACAAGTACATGGAGTTTGTAGAGGAGCATGATCAGGGTGTCTGGGACAAGTCAGATGTGAGGGAGTGAAGAGGTAAAAATGATCAAAATACATTGCATACATCCATGAAATTCCCAAAGAATAAGTAAAAACTTTATAAAATGTGTTTGATTATGCTGTGCACGGGGCATGATGATCTCACCTCTGTGAAGTCACCTAACTCCACCTGCTCAAGGACAGGTCACCTTATTGCTTTACCCTAAGTCACAGGAAGTAACAAGAGTGGGTCTTATCCATGGGTAAACACCATGACCAAAAAACAACTTGGAGAGAAAAGGATTTATTTATTTGTGGGAAACCAAGGCAGGAACTCAAAGAGGAACCTGGAGACAGGAACTGAAGAAACAGACCATGAAAGAATAGTGCTTACTGGTCTACTCTCTATGGCTTGCTCAACCTGGTCTCTTATACCCCAGGCCCAGCTGCCCAGGGGTGGCACCACCCACGGTTGCCTGGGCCCTCCCATACCAATCATTACTCAAGAAATTTCCAGACAGACAGGCCCACGGGACAATCTGATGAAGGCAATTCTTCTGTGGGGGTCCTTCTTCTTAGATGAATCTAGTTCATGTCAAGTTGACAGAAACCAACCAGCTTGGGTGTGGTAACCTGCATGAGAATGTCCCACATAGATTCACGATGTTTGAATACTTGATTCCTTGTTAATGATGTTGTTTGGGTAGATTCAGGACATGAAGCCTTGCTGAAGGAAGAGTAACACTAGAAGAAGGCTTTGAAAGTTAAAAGACCTGTGTTATCTCTAATTGGCTTTCTGTTTCTTGCCTGCGTACAAGATGTGACCCCTCAGTTTCCTGCTCCCGTGGCCCTACCTCCACTCCACCATTATGAATTCTAACCCTCTGGAAGCATAAGCCTAATCAACTCCTCCTTCTGTAAGTTCCCTTGGTCATGGTGTTTTATCACAGCAACAGAAGAGGAGCTAACAGAGAAGTTGGTACGAGGAGTGTGGTCCGGCTGTGACAGACCTGACCACGCTGGCTTTTGGAGGGATGTGGAAGAGTCTGGACTAGAAAGGTGGATGAACTGTGTACGTGAAGTACAATGGGCCATCCTACATGGAAGACAGCAGTGCTGAGGACTATGTGGACTGTGGGGGCCCCGCTCAAGGGGTTTCTGAGGGGAGCAATATTAGCAGTGGGGCTAGAGACAGTGTGGCTGCTTTCTGTCCTTGACCTCACAACTCACCTGACGCTGGATGCAAAGTAATGGACCAACTTCTTCTGTACAGGAGATTTCAAAACAGCTCAATAGTGACCCTGACAAGTGGTTATTAGTAATCACTCCTACACACACCTGCAGTGAAAAAGAACAAACGAGGCAAAAAAGAATTACAAAATGCAAAGTTCCGAAAGAAAAGGGGCACTGGCAAGCTTAATGTTACAGCCAAGGCTTGTTCTGGAAGAGAGATTACAACTGCTAAAGAGATTAAGAGCCCACCTAGCTAAGCTTCCAGCTTGTAAAAGTGTCTTAAACCCCTTAACACTTGTCAGTGGGGGGTCTGAGCAGAATTCAAAAACATGCACAAATAGAAGATTCTAGGACCCTAAATCTCACTCTGGTGCCCAAAGTGCAAAGAATGCAAGAGTCAGAGGATGGAGCGGAAGGGACTGGAGGGGTGGGGGAGCGGTGCTGTGACTCAGTCTTCTGGACTTGACTCAGCTGTCACCATGATGAACTCACAGCAGCTGTGATCACCTACATAATACTAGCACACCAAAAAGAAGACATAAAAGAGCCGGGCAGTGGTGGCACACTCCTTTAATCCCAGCACTCAGGAGGCAGAGGCAGGCGGATCTCTGTGAGTTTGAAGCCAGCCTGGTCTACAGAGTGAGTTACAGGACAGCCTCCAAAGCTGCACAGAGAAACCTTGTCTCGAAAAACAAAAAGCATAAAAGCGGGAAGAAGACTGACTGGGAAAAAGAAGGGATCAACAGCATGGGAGGGATATAAGAAAAGGACATGGCAGAGGCGAATACGATCACAATGTATCTGTACAATTAAGAAATGGTCAAAGCGGCGGTGGGGGGGGCTGAAGAAATAGCTCAGGGGTTAAGAACACTGGCTGCTCTCCCAGAGGTCCTGAGTTCAATTCCCAGCAACCACATGGTGACTCATGACCATCTGGAATGAGATCTGGCACCTTCTTCTGGCCTGCAGGCATACATGCAGGCAGAACACTGTACACATAATAAATAAAGATCTTTTAAAAAAAAAAGGAAGGAAGAAATGGTCAAAGCCTTTTAAAAGGCATTAAGTAAAACGTAATGAAATCCAGATAGTTTGTAGAATCTAATGAATGCACAGGAATCAACAATGGGGGTGGGGATGTGGCTCAGCTAGTCCCAGCTCTCCAGAGGTGAAGGGACAAGGCTGTTCATCCCCTGACACTGTGGAGTTTCAGGCCAGCCTGAACAACTTAAACCCTGTCTCAAAAAGAGAGAGAGAAAAAAGAAAGAAAGAAAGTGCATGAGTAAAGCCATCAGTGAACCAAGACTACAATGTGTGGCAGTGTTTCTGGGGAGATATGGTGTTGCTAGCCCACACCCCATCATAAGTGAAAAAGACACAATGGTGCCACTTTATCTTACAAGCTACTGGTGTTTATGGAAGACAGTTCCGAACTGACCATTCTGGCTATGAATCGGCTCTTTCCGCTGTGAAGCTCAGGCCCTGTCACCCCTCTCTGAAATTCCTGGAACATGTATCTCCTGCCTGGTGTGTCAGATGCTCGAGCCCCCCCCAACTCTTCCGGTGCCAGTACCCACTTCCCAATTTCTCTTGCTAAGTAAGACTGCCTTCGGGGAGGTGGTGAATAAAAGCTGCTGTCCCCACCAGCTTCTGCCACTGAGAAGCGGCTGTGAAACATGAGTGATCCCAAGGACACGGGGAAGAAGCAGCTCGGCCCCCTGGGTGAGACTGGGCTGGTACTCTGGGAGCTTGGGGAAGGGTACCAATGGGGCAGCACGTGTCTCAGCCTGCCCTGTATGTGACTGATGCTCTGTTCACTCAGACGAGGAGCAGCTGATAAGCAGCCACTCCAGGTACTCCACCAAAGGCTTTGACTTCCAACCAAATTCTGGATTCAGTAGCTTCACAGGTAAAACAAGATGAGGGACTGTGGAGTGCATGGCTCCTGGCAGAAACCTGGGTCCCTGGGGAGGTGAAGGGTGGGATTCTGGCCTCTGAGGTCCAGAGAGTTGGAAGCTCAGATCCTGCATCTGGGCCCTGGACTCCCAGGAACTGTAGAGGATGGGATCTGGAATCCTGTACCTTGGGAATGAGGCTGATGTATTGTCCGTCTGGAGTCACATTGAGTCAGGGACGCCAAGGGGTTAAAATGCCATCCTTCCATCCCACAGGGCACCTGGGCCTCAGCCATGTCCCCTTGGCACTGCAGGTCCTCTTCCTCATTGTCTTCTCTGTGCTGCTGGTGGTCGTGCTTGCCAAAGGTCGGTCAGGACTGAGGTTTGGGGACCCCAAGTCTGGCTCTTCAGCCAAAGGGACCCAGGAGGGAGGAGCAACTGACTGGGACTGTGTCTGTCGTCACGGCCTTCTGAGTAGGGGTTCTGCCTGGGAGACACTGGCTGCACCTGCCTTAGAAACCCAGTCTCCCTTGGGTGTTAGATCTCTTCATCACGAAACAGGACTAGATAAGACCTTGGGCCTTGGAAACGATGGTCCCTGGACTGGAGCCAGAGAATGCTATCATAGCAGGCTCAAAACTGGGTGTGACAATGCATTCCTAGAACCCCAATATGCAGGAGGCAGAGGCGGAGAATCAGGAGGCCAAGGTCAACCTCAGCTACATGGAAGTTTTTATGCAGCCTGAGCTGTGTGAGACTTTGTCTAGGAAAGGAAAGAAGGCGGGAAGGGAGGGAGGGAGGGAGGGAGGGAGGGAGGGAGGGAGGGAGAAGGAAAGCAGGGAGAGAAAAAAGGATGACTTGGTCATCAGGGTCCAGTACAGGCCAAGAAACACAGTAAGCATTTAATAATTGCAGTGACCCTTTCTTTTGGCCCAGTCTTCAGCATTCCTAGCTTTCGGGGTCAGGAGCAGTCCAGCCAGGAGAAGATCTACCAGGAGCTGACCCAGCTGAAGGCTGGAGTAGGTGAGTGACTGGGAACGAGGGATCTCACAGCCTGAGAAAGTTTCCACAGAGTCACTTTGCTTAAATAACTGTTCTTCACTGAGTCTCAGTTTCCTCACCTGTGGAATGGGCACGCAGGATAATACTAAGGAAGGCATCTCGTTGGTGTTGACTAGAATCTGTGCACAAAATAGGCACTCAAGATCCACAGGGCCTGGACAGATTAGACACTCGATGTTTACAAAAGTATGTACACAGTAAAATGCTCAGGGGTGTGCACACATTAGACATTCAGTGTTCACAGGTATGTGTACACAATAGGTACTCGTTGACAAGAGTATGTATGCAGTAAACGCTCAATGTTTACAGGATGTGCACACATTAGACACTCGGTGTCACAGAGCTTGTGTACACAGTAGGCAGTCAGTGTTCACAAGGGCGTGCACACAGTAGGTATTCAGTTAAACCTGTCTAGTGGCCTCCATTCTGAGCTCTAAGCCTCAACTTCTTTCAGTCAAGAAAAAAAATCGGGCTAGGACTCCTGGGTTCTGGGAATAGAAGGGACACAATAATTGGGGTAGGAAACGGCTCCGCATGGTGCAGCGTCAAGGGAGGGGCTGACTCTGGAGGGCTTGAAGGTTGAAGTCACAGAAGCATGGGTGCATCCTGACCTGCCTCCCCGAACAGACCGCCTGTGTCGCTCCTGTCCCTGGGACTGGACGCCCTTCCAAGAAAGCTGCTACTTTTTCTCTGTGGCCCAGAAGACCTGGAATGACTCTGCCACAGCCTGCCAGAAGGTGGGGGCGCAACTTGTGGTTATCAAGAGTGATGAAGAGCAGGTATGCCTGGCAGGGCCCAGTCCGCATCTGGGGGTGCATCTGGAGGGAGGAGGAGTTTGGCTGCATACAGTGTTCTAGGATAGGGCCTGCTTGCCTGGAGAGGGGATAAAATGGGTATGAAAGGGGCCAGAGCAGTTGCAAAAAAGACACTCTAGGACTGCAGAGAGAAGGCTCCGTGGGTTAAGCACTTGCCAGGCAAATCCGAGGACCTGAGCGTGGACTCCTCAAACCCACACGAAGTCCATCTTGAGGACACACATCTGTAACCCCAGTGTTCCTGCAGTAATATGGGGAGCAGGGGGAAGAGATCTCATGGAAGCTGGTGGCCAGCTCTCCTGGTGTACACAGTGGTAAACAACAAGAGACCCGTCTCAAACAAGGTGAGAATCTGTGGTGACATCTGTAAAGACCTCCAGACAGGCCTTATTTATACAAGCAAGGTATCACCACAAGGATACACACCTAAGGTTGTCCTCTGATGCACACACACTCATGCATGTGTGTGCGTGTGGAGGCCAGAGGTCAGCCTTGAGTGGCATCCCCCAGGTGCTCACATTGTTTAGGCTGAGCTGGCTGGCCAGCAAGTCCCAGGCATCCTCCTGTCTCTGCCTCCCCAGTGCTGGGATTGGTGCACACAACCACAGTGGGCTTTCACATGCTTGCTAGGGGTCCACCTCAGGTCCTCACACTTGTGTGGCACACTTAACTGGCCGAGCCACTTCCTCAGCCCCACTACTATTGCTTTCAACGTGATTGATGCTTTGGGGGAACTCCTGAAATCTGTGGCCAGCACTTAACAACAATTTCCTCTGTTGGGTTAAATCCTGGTGTGTGCCTTTTGCTAAATCCCCTGGTACAAATATCACCAGCCTTGCTGATTTGAAGCACCAGGGAGAGACAGCTTGATTCAGAACTGAATAGGGGTCACCAACACATGCAGTAACCGTGAACCTGTTTGATCCGCAGCCATTTAAACCTGGCCTTGAGTAAATTCGTGTGGATGTGTGCATAGCCTCCAGACAGATAAGCGTATGGCATCACTAGGCATGCACGGCCTGTGTGCGAGCGAGAACAAGCTGCCCATGGCACACAGGTGTGGAGACATTCAGAACTCATGGTACAAAGCCGAACGTCGGATTGCAGGCAGAACTTCCCACCAGGAGTTTTTGGAGACACGTGTTAAAAAGAAGAGGGAGGCAGAGTCCTTTCTGATGCTTCCTTTTCTGCCTTTCTAGAACTTTCTGCAACAGTCTTCTAAGAAGAGAGGCAACACTTGGATGGGGCTCATCGACCTGAACAAGGAATCCACATGGCACTGGGTGGATGGCTCGCCTCTGACACTCAGGTAGACACCAGAGGAAGGGAGCACATTACAGAGGGGATGGAGTGTTAAGGCTCTGACTTGAGGCATCCTTGGGGTTCATGTCCTCCACCCGGTCACCTGGGCATTAGAGCTTGGAACACTTGTTGAATGGCAGGAAATGAGGTTCAGATGGGATGGCAGGTGCCTGAGATTACATCATCAGAACTTCAGGAACGGCTGCAGCCAGAGGGACATTAAATAGGAATAATTGTGTAGGAAATCCAAGACCGGGAAATGACTCCAGTGGTAAAGTCATGCCCACAGCCCACGTAAAGACAGCTGGTGTTGTGGTGGCACGCACTTGTAATCTCTGAACTTGGAAAGCAGAAACAGAAGGGTTCCTGGAGTTTCCTGGCCAGCCAGCCTAGCCAACTAGCAAGTTCCAAGGTAGCGAGAGACCCTGTCTCAAAAATCAAGGTGGAGAATGTCCTGAGGAACAACAACTGAAATTGTTACCTGAGTCTACATGCATATATATGAATGTACACACACACATGCACATAACCACACACACATGAACACACAGAGACTGAAAATGACCATTGCCAATAACAATATAACTTGTAGATGGAGAGATGGCTCAGTGGTTAAAAACCTAGGAGTTCTTAATTCTGCATCTGTAAAAATCCTAAAACTTCCAGAGGCCCCAAGTTTGGTTCCCCGTGCCCACATGAATTGGCTCACAACCACCTGTAACTCCAGCCCCAGGGGATCTGATGATCTTTGCAGATGTCCACACTCACATCCACAAATGTGCACATGCGCCAGCATACTCAGGAACACACATGCACACACCACACACGAAAGAAAAGAATGTGCATACAGATTGTTGTACTCTAAGGTCCAAAAAGAGAGCATCTACAACACCACCGGATGTGACAGGAGGGCAAAGACCTGGGCAAGTCAGGATGTAGAAGGGGCGGGAGACTCAGGTAATGGCCTTGGTTGTGCTGTCAAGGAACGAAGTAGACCATGTGGGTCAAGCAGGTTTGGGCGGGGGTGTTTTGAAGTGTGTGATGGGTTCTAGATGCTCTCTTTCCTAGCTAGCCTTCTGTCGATGTGATGGACACTGTGACTAAGGCAGTGCAGGGAGGAAAGGGTTTATTCCATCCAACAACTCCCAGGTCACACTCAGTCACTGAGGGAAGTCAGGGAGGAACGCAAGGCAGGAACCAAAGCAGAGGCCACGGAGGAACACTACTCACTGGCTTGTTTTCACGGCTTGCTCAGCCTGCTTCCTTAACTACCCAGGACCACCTGCTCAGAGGTAGCGCTGCCCACTGTGGGTGAGGCCACATCCTATCAATCGTTAATGATGAAAATGCCCCCATAAGCCGGCTGGGCTACAGGGTAGTCTGATGGAGGCATATTCTCAGTTAAGGTTTCCTCTTCCCAGATGACCCTAGCTGTATCATTAGTTGTCTGGTGTTTAGTCCTGCACATGTTGTATTAACTCAGTGAGGGAGCTGTGTGTGTGTGGAGTTTCTATTATTTGGTTGCATCTGACAACTGTACCCTCCTTGGAACAAGTCCTCTCAATCATGGGAGACATGGATGAGGTGCAAAGCTCAGAGTGACTCAGGCCTGCCATGTCATGTGCAAGGCAAGTCTGCCATCACACCCTAGAAAGGGGCTTACAGGGTTTTCCTGGGGCAGAATCTCATGTCTTACGGTCTTTGCAGTTTCATGAAGTATTGGAATAAAGGGGAACCCAACAACCTGGGGGAGGAAGACTGTGCGGAGTTCAAAGGTGATGGCTGGAATGACCACCAATGTGACGACAAGAAATTCTGGATCTGCAAAAAACCCAAAACTTCCTGCCCTAGCAAGTGATGGCCAACCTCTGTCCCCCACCCCCACAGCCTAAACACCACAGCAATCCCGTTCATTATACCTGTCTGTGGCTGCTGATGCCCTGACAAGATCTCGGGGACTTTTCTCCACCAGGTAGCCTGTCTTCTGCATGGCTGGACCACTTTTGTATAATCCTCTGGTGTCTGCGGGTTCTCTTTGGGTTAGTCGTTATGGCTCTGCTTCACCTTTCCTTCTAAGGGAGTGACCAGGTATGAGATGTATCCAGGTCCTTACTGGGTTCCTTTCATCTCCTCTGTCTTCCTTTCTGAGTTCACAGCATGTGTTGCCATGGCAACTGATGACACATCCTATGTGATTTCATAGCATCTCACAGTACTTTCCTCCCACCTACTAAGTTTTTAATCCACCTACCCTGCATGCCCTTCTATGGACGCCTTCCCTGATCTCAGGAGCTCAGTCTGTAGGCTAGAAGCACAAGAGAATCAATTCCTCATCCATTAGTCATGATCAGAGATTCTTGTGTTAATACCCTGGCGCTCTCTCCACCTCTTGTTGGACATGGTGAGCCTCAACGTTTTAGAGCCTAAAAATGAACTCCCAAATATTTGGAAGATTTATAATTTTTATTGAATTTGTTCATTGACAATTTCATATATATTCTATTATTCTGATTACTGTCATCCTCTACCCAACCTGAAATTTCTCTCTTTTTACCTCTTCTTTCCCCCATTCATGACTTTTTGCTTGGTTTTGTGACCCATTGACACTAACAATGGCATGTATATGATCATGAGTTTGAAACTATCCAGTGGAGTCTGACAGGCTCATCATCAACTGAAGACAATGACTGTCCCTCTCTCAAAATCCATCAGTAGCCAGTCATTCAGCAGGGAGAGGTAGGGCCCTGTGAGCTCTTACTATAACCAAGTGATGAGAGGCCCACTTTTGGTCAGCCTTCTCCATCCTCAGCTGCTGGGAGCTCTGCTGTCACCTGTCAGCCCTTCCTGTCCTAGGTCACTACAGCACTCTGCCTTCACCAACGTCAGGCTTCTGGTAAAGCACACGCAGATGCAGGGTGATGAAGATGTAGCCAGGTTTGGGTCAGTACCCGCCAGGAAGTCACCTGTGGCTGCATCAGGTCTGTCCCTTCGCTATCCTTGCTTCTTGTATGACATAATTAAAAAGTTGGTCTTTTCTGCGTTGCTAAGTGACAGGTTTCTTGTTTACAATATGTACCTTTGACCACTGTTGAGTCATGCGAATGGAGGTGACTTGGTGCAGAGCATAAAACCTCACCTCAGGCACCAAGAGGACCAAAGATGTGATTAAAATCTGGAATGTTCACCTATATCCGCTGCCATCCATTCATATGGAGACTGAACTTTGTTAGTCCCCAAGACCACATGAAAAACACATTCCTATCAAATGCCATCCACTGGGGTTGACCACAAGAACTGTCCACCATGAACATGCTACATTTTATCTCACTTAAGTCAACCTTTAAACGTGCAGGATAACTCAAAGATACATCCACAGTACCTCCCGGGGATGCAGGGTAACTCAAAGATACATCCACAGTACCTCCCGGGGGCTCTTGGCTATTCGGGTCCTAGCTGCCCACATCAATCATAAGCCCACACGTGTTCTGGCCGTGGTGTCCTTCCTTCCCTTCACGGCCCACATGGTTTCCTTCCACTTCCGCTGTCACATTATACGCTCTCCCCTCAGGTAAATTACTCAGATCGTTCCTGTCTTGGGCTCCACTTCTGAGAGTCCAAACCAGATTTGCAGCACGTTTTCATCAGTGGTCACCACACATGGTTCTCCACCTCATCCGGTCTTGTGAAGTTTTTCTTCTAGTGAGGTGTGCGCACCTGTGTGTGTGTTCAGCGGGCTGTCTGTACATGCATATATGTGTGTGATGTGTGTATATGTGCTATGTGTATGTATGTGCGCTGTGTATATCCTGGGTTGTGTGTGTGTGTGTGTGTACTGTGTGTGGGTCGTGTGATACATGTGTGGGTATGTACATGTGTTTGCTTGGTGTGAGTGAGTGTTCTGTATGCACACATGTGTTCATGTGTGTGTGTACTATATGGGTATGTTGTATTATATGGTATATGTTCCATATGTGTATATGCTTATGTGTGTGAAAGGTATATGTATGTATCTGTGTGTGTGCATGTGTGTATTTGTACGATGGGGGTCTGTGTGTGTATCTGTTTGTGTGTATGTGTGCTGTGAATGTACATCAGTTTTTGTGTAGATGCGTGCAGGTGTGCAGGTTGGTATGTGGAGGCCGGAGGTTAAAATCAGTTCTTTCTCAGCTGCACTCCATCTTGCTTTTTGAGAAGAGCTCAATGAACCTGGAGCTCCTGAGATGGCCAGGCTGTCGGACAATAAGCTCCTGAGCTCCACCTGTCTCTGCTCCCCGGGGCTGGGCGCACTCCAGCAGCGCCCGGCTTTGACCTGGGAACTGAGGGTCCAAACTGAAGTCCTCATGTTTGCTCAGCAAGTGCCTTAGCATCTGAACCATCCCCAGTCATGCATGCTTCTGTTTGGTTTGTCTATAGTCATTTCTCTTTTTGGAGATTAGAACTGTGCCCTTTCCCCTTCCCTTAAGATCCCTCCCAAATTCCCCTCCTTGGTCTCTTCCAAATCCATGGTCTCCATTTAGCTTTCAAGGAAAAATGTATTTTTGTGTCAAATATCCCAGTATGTGGAACCAAAACAAACCAATCAATCACTCCAGGGAGACTAAAGCCCCACCCACCTGGGGAGCTAGAGAGTTGATTCCATGGTGATGAACCCTTGCTACACTTGCAGAGGATGGTTCCCATCACCCATGTCCATCAGCTTACAACTACCAATAACTCCAGTCCCGGGGAATCCTACGCCCTCCTTTGGAATCTGAAGGCACCTATGCTTACACATACATATAATTTAAAAATGAAAATAAACTCTTTTTAAAGAGAATTTATGCACAAAAGAAAAAAACGAGGAAAAGACCTGAAGAGGCTGTTTTGCAAAAGCATGTGTGGGAAGGGAAGTGAAAAAGCTGTCCTTTTAGATCAGTCCTGCAGGACTTTAGTGAACTCAAACATTAACTCCGTAAGTTAGGACTATCTTAGCTGGATGATGGGGGCTTTGACCTTTCCACGTCTATAGGATTTCTCTTTTTGTTTTTTATTTCATGAGGAAAAGAGCAAGAGGGATGTTATGTTTTTTCTGTATGTGTCCATCTTCATATATGAGTGCAGGTGCATCATGTATGTGTGCATATGGAAGCCAGAGGTCAAGATAAGATGTCATCTATAACACTTCACCTATGTTTCAATTTATAAAATATTATTAGTTATTAGTGTGTGTGTGTGCATGTGTGTGTGTGTGCATGTGTGTCTGTCACTGGTACACATATAAAAACCACAAGAACTGGAATCACAGATGACTCTGAGCCACAGTGTGGGAGCTGGTTCCTCTGCAGGAGTAGCAAGGGCCATCTCTCCAACCTTGCTTTTGGAGACAGAATCTCACTGAACATGGAGCTTGCTGCCTGGGATGTCTGCGTGTCTAGCAACACCCTGGAATCTACTATTCTTTGCTCATCCCCAGCACTGGGGTTACAGATGCCCAGCAACCTGAGAAGTCAAGTCCAGGACCTCATGGTGTGTGTGTGTGTGTGTGTGTGTGTGTGTGTGTGTGTGTGTGTGTACATGAGCCACCATACAGTTGTGGAGACTGAAGGCTAACTAGGTGAAGTCTGTTCTCTCCTTTGATATTTACATGGGCTCCAGGGATTAAACTCAAGTCACCAGGCTTTAGAGGCAAGTACATTTAGGTGTTGAGCCTTTTCATTGGCCCTATTTAGTTTTTGAAATGGGGCCTCATACTATAGCCCAAACTTGCCTGAAACTTACTGGGTAGCACAGGCTGATTACAGCCTTCTTCTAGCTCAGTTTCACCAGCACTGGGATAACAAATCTGAGTCAACACACCCAGCTCCTGCCACAATTTAATCACACCTGCAAAACTCCTTCTAAACGAGGTACCATTCGCAGATCCTAACTTAAGGCATCAGTGTTTCTTTTTTAGAGAAACTTAAATTTTCCTATACTAGAGATACCTTTATTTTCTGCTTAAATTTATTTTTAAAATGTTGTTTTCATATCTCGTGATTAAGTAAAAACATTCCTGTAACTGACCCTTTATCTAACTAAGGAAGCTTCCTCTTATCTGTTGTTTGCGAAGAATTTATTTTTGCATGTTTATGGTGTTGCATAGATGCTCCTCTTAACTGTAACGAGGAAGAGACAAAAACAAGATCGGGAAGGATGTGGGCCACGTGGTCACCTGTTTATGAATCCTCCAAATGTACAAAACAACTCAATAGACTGCCAATGGGTCAACATAGGATGTATTTTTAAAATCATGAGCACCAACTTTGGAAAGAAAACTCCTTGGAGACAGAAACAGGAGACTAAGACCAGACAGGGACTGGGTGTCATCTAGATGTCCACTGTATTTGTTTTGTTTTCTTTACTTTTAAGAATATCTAGGAACTAGAGAGTTGCTCAGTGGCTAAGAGTACATTCAACACATGGGGTGCCTGTGTTCAGTTCCCAGCACCAGTGTCTGGCAGCTCACTAAAGCCTGTAACTCCAGCTGCAGGGGACCCAGCACCCTCTTGTGTCCTCCAAAGATACCTGCACTCCCATGGCAGACACAATCACACACACACACACACACACACACACACACACAAACTAACACAAACACACACACCACACATGCAAAACCTTATAAACTAAAAATCATAGGTAAGGTCTTTTTTTAACTTTTTATTGTTTTTTTGTGAATTGCACCTCATGTACCTCAATTGTACCCATCTCCTAGTCCCTCCATACCCACCCTCCATCCTTATAACCACCAAAGAAAAGCAAAAAAATTAAAATTAAAAGCAATCAAAAGCGAGAAAAGAAAAGAACCTTGCCGCGGAGGCTGCAGGGCGTCGCGGTGTGTCCCACAGCACATGCTTCTGCCCAAACCGCTTTGTGCAGTCTGGCCGCAGCTGACACCCGGCCTCAGATGATTTCCCTCTGTTCATCTCTGCATCCCCAGAGCGAGCGCTTCTTTTCATCCTCCACGCCTGCAGTAGTTGGTACTGAGCTTGGTAGGATCTGCACTCACCTAGTGGACAAGGCTCTGCGCATGCCTGTGGGTTTTCTTCATTAGACTGAAGCTGAAATGCTCACCCTAAGAGGGGGTGTCACCATTCCGTGGGGTGGGGTCCTGGACTACATGACAAGGAGAAAGCTGGGGGCCAGCAAGATGTCTCAGTGGTTACATACACCTGCTGTCAAGCCCGATGACCTGGCTGCACTCCCTGAGATCCACAGGGTAGGAGAAAACCGACATCCAGAAGTTGTACTTGACCTCCACACATGCAACATGGCACACAAGTACACACACACACACACACACACACACACACACAAAACAACAACAACAATAACAACTAAATAAAATTGTAAAGCAATAGATAGCCCAGTGTTTGGGAGGCGGAGGCAGGTGGGACTCCGTGAGGACTAGGACAGCCAAGGCTAAGTGGTGAAACTCTGTGCATGTGTCCTTGAAGGCAGTGTGCCAACAGTATCTCTTTCAGAAAACGTCCTCTGGCCCTGTCAAGTGCATTAACACATTCCCCTTCAGGGCTGAAGAAGCCGTGCCATAGGAACCCTCTCCTAAGTGTGTCCAGAAGGTGTTGAGCAGTTCTCCTCTCTCTCTCTCTCTGTCTCTCTGTCTCTCTGTCTCTCTCTGTCTCTCCCTCCCTCCCTCCCTCCCTCCTCCCTCTGTCCCTCTCTCTCTCTCTCTCTCTCTCTCTCTCTCTCTCTCTCTCTCTCTCTCTCTCTCTCTCTCTCTCTCTCTCTCTCTCTCTCTCTCTCTCTCTCTCTCTCTCTCTCTCTCTCTCTCTCTCTCTCTCTCTCTCTCTCTCTCTCTCTCTCTCTCTCTCTCTCTCTCTCTCTCTCTCTCTCTCTCTCTCTCTCTCTCTCTCTCTCTCTCTCTCTCTCTCTCTCTCTCTCTCTCTCTCTCTCTCTCTCTCTCTCTCTCTCTCTCTCTCTCTCTCTCTCTCTCTCTCTCTCTCTCTCTCTCTCTCTCTCTCTCTCTCTCTCTCTCTCTCTCTCTCTCTCTCTCTCTCTCTCTCTCTCTTCCTCTTGTGAAGAACTACTTGGGGTGTGCCCTGCCTGGAAGCTCTGACCCAGTCATCATGCCTCTCGTTTCCTGATGAGGAGCGGAAAGGAAAGTGTCCTGCTGGAGGAGAAGCCTTCTGAGAAGAAGGGGTGGGGCCTTCTGTTTTCTTGGAAAACAACTCCCTACAGGACATCACTCCTCTAAGCACTGTCCACCCGATCACCCACACAGCTTAGCTCTTTATCCCAGAGGTCCATGCTGAGGTGTTTGATGCAGGTGCTTACAGCTCGTGCACCATTGTGTGTGCACACGCTCATGTGTGCGTGTGCCTGTGTGCACGTGTGACTACATCTCTAGTCATCTCTGTAATGGATGGGAGGTGCCCCCTGCAGTCACCAGATCTCAGCTGCAGCAGTGTCTTCAGCTCCTGAGGGGGGAGAATTTAGGATGGGGCACATGTAGAGTGACCAAGAGGCTGAGATTTACTTTTAGGAGACACAGAAAGGAAAGCACAGTCAGCCTTCCAGAGCAGGCGGCTCCCTCAGCCAGGAAGGGCTGCTGGCCTCTGTACGTAAATGTCTTACTCTCCATTTTCCCTCCCCAACTTGGCCATGGGAAGGTCTGTGGTGGTCTCCTTCACCGAGCAGGTGGAGGAGTCCTCAGAGCCTTCCTTACCCACAATTCAGTCTGGTGCAGTTAACGTATTTGACCCAAGGGTGCATATAAAGATGTAACTATGAACAAAACCAAGAAGTTAACTGGAGGAAAGGGCAATGGTGCCTTGCACGTGCTCCTGGGGAGGGGTGAGGGCTTTTAGGAGCCTGCTGGACCCAGATGGCCCTGTTTGTTTCAACAGAGCCAGGTCTTAGGCTGGCTGGCTATCTCCCCCAGCTGCAAGCCTTCTTATTTATCTTCCCTTGTGCCCAACCTCACCATTTTAGCCCACACTTTTTTTTAACCCTACAGGGTTTTTTGTTTGTTCATTTGCTTTTTGTTTGATGGTTTGGTTTTGGGGTTTTGTTGTTGTTGTTGTTTTAGGGTTTTGGTGGGGTGGTTTTGTTTGTTTATTTTCCAGACAGGGTTTCTCTGTGTAACAGTCCTAACTGTGCTGGAATTCACTTTGTAGACCAAGCTGGCCTGAAACTCACAGAGATTTGCCTGCCTCTGCCTCCTGAGTGCTGGAATTAAACGTGTGCACCACCACTCCAGGCTACCCTGACAGCTTTTTTACTAGCAATTTCCATTCCTTCCAACCCTAGCTTTTTGAGATCTGGAAATATTACAACTGAATGACTAAGTTATGACTGGTCTGTTGTGAGTATGTCCTCATTAAACGCTGTGGACCTATTCACTGCTCAGGGACAAGGGGGACAAGGGGACTACCCTAACTCTGGTGCCATAAACAATTCAGGATAAACCTGTAGGCATTTTGGAAGGATCGGGTGGGACAGGTATTCTGGCACTGGGAAGTCACAGAATACTGAGTGTTACACAGCTCAGATGGAAAGGTATCCTAGAGCTCGGGAGCCAAGGACTACCACAGGCTGCAGTAAGCTTAGCAGTTTACAGCTTTGCCTCAGGGAAAGGCTTCCCAGTGTATCCGCTCTGCTCTGGCAGGAGAGGGTCTTCCAGCTGGGGTTGTTTGCCCAGTGTAGCAGTTTTGTTCCGGCAGGAGAAGGTTTCCTGGGCTACAGTTCAGCTCTCCTCGGGGAGAGTGGAGAACTGAGTGTAACAACTCCGCTCTGCCAAGGGAAGGTCCCCCTCCCCCGTTCCCCCTCCCCCCCGAAAGTGTTACAGCCCTGCTCACGCCCCTCTGCCCAGGGTCATGTCTGCTCCAGCGCAAAACAAGGTCTTCACCCAAAGCTCATCCAAGGGGTTTATTGGGAGGGAAGAATCCAGGAGAGTGGCTGCCAGCCGGGTAACACAAACAGCCACAAGCTAAACAGACACATATATATATAGGGATTCCAGGGTAAAGATTGGTCAGATTTCAATGCAGAGCTCAGATTGGCTAGACCTCCTACCCAAAGATTGGTTATTTTTCTCCACAGGATTAGGGTCAGAATGGCTATGGTTTCAGGGCCAAAGTGTGTTTATTTCTCTGGCCCATTTTAGCCTTTTGGCTCTAATTTTAGGGCCAGGGTGTATTTCTTTCACTGACTTTGATTCCAGGGACAAAGTGTGTTTCTTTGGCACTGGTTTCAGGGTCAGGGTACATTTCTTTGGTTCTGATTGCAGGGCCAAAGTGTGTTTCTTTGGCTCTGCTCAGGGTGTGTTTCTTTGGCTGGTCCCTTTTCCATACAGAGCCTCCTAGGAAGTATGTGTTCCCTTGGCATGACCTCTTTTTAAGAATTCATGCTTTCTAAATATCAGGGTTAGGGAGATGATTGCATTAATAAGGAACCTGGTTTGACAGCGTGAGGACCTAATTCAGATTCCCAGCACCCTCGTAAAAAGGATTGGTTCAGTAGCCAGCACCTATCACCCCAGCCCTGAGTGGAGACAGGAGGATCCCTAGAATTCACTGGCCAGCCAGTTATTGGAAGCAGTAGTTCTAGGTTCAATGAGAGATCCTTTTTCAAAAAATAAACCATAGTCAAAACTGGTGGAGTGGGTCGATGGCTAAAGGAGCTTGCCTTGCAAGCCTGGTGGCCAGCATTTATGTGATCCTTGTAGCTCTCAAGAATGTGGAAGGAGACAGCCAACACCCGGAGTTGTCTTCTGACCTCCACACGTATGCGCACACACATACACACATGCACACACACATACATCATACACATACACACACATTTATCAGAGGACACAATTTTACTACATACTTCCATCTTCTGAACTGCTTTCCCAAGTGACTGAATTTATACTCCAGTCAGCAGTGAAGGAGTATCCCTTCTCCCACATCCTCAGCAACTGTAACGAGTATCCACCTTTCATCTGGCTGTCATGCTGCACGCCTGTAATCCTAGAGTGCAGGAGGCTGAAACAGAAGGACTGTGGATACAAAACCAGCCTGGGCTACAAACAGATGAAAATTACCCGATTGTTTCTAATATTTTTAAACATGTGTATGTATATATATATATATATATATATATATATATATATATCCGTATGTGTATGAATGCAAGCACCTGAGGAAGCCAGAAAGAGGCGTTGGATTCCATCAGCTGGAGTCACAAGAGACTATGATGTGGAGGTTGAGAAATGGACTCTAATCTTTGACAAACGCAGCACACAGGCTTCACCACTGGGCCATCTCGCCTCCCTCTACTTTTTTCCTGTTTGCTACTTTACTTAGTACACATGACACAGCGTTACTTATGCTTCCACTCCTAATGAACTTAAGCTTTCCTTAAACACATGCTCGGCATTCTGTTTTGGTTTTGTTTGCTTCTGTGAAGAGGGTCTTGTGTGATCCAGACGGGCCTTGAACTTGCCTTCTTCTGTGTGAGCCCTGAGTGCTGGGATCGCAGCATGAGCCACCATGAAGCCACACACATTCATGTCGGGTTTCCCCCTCTAGGTCTTGCTACTTCTTACCCGTGGCTTGCTTTTCTGCTAATGTCTGTGGGTTGTTTTAATTTGCAGAAGTATTTTTGCAGATTCCAGAAAGCAAGTAATTGTTAGTTTTAGATGTGGCAGTGAAGCCTCCCCACCCCATGCAAACGCACCGTGTAGACCCCTTCCTCCTTCCATGGAATCCACTTCTACTTTCGTGTCAGCTTTTTTTCCTAAGTCCAGATTCTGCAAAAGAGAAAAACCATGTGATATTTGTCTTTCCAGCTTATTTTGCATAAAATGACGCTCTTTGGCTCCACCCTCTTCCTTGCACGTAACACTGTTTCCTTCCTTCTGATGACAGAATAAAACTGCACTGTGTTTTCTTTACCCATCTGTCTGTAGATGGACACCTAGGCTGTTCCATGCCTCGGCTGTTGTGGACAGTGCTGGAATGAGTATGGACGGCGGTGTGTGAACTACCGCAGGGTGGTACAGCCGACAGAGTGAGTCATACACTAGCTCTAGTTTCAGAGGCTGTCCTGGCTTTGTTCCCTGTTGTTGTGTAAAAACACCTGGTGAAAGCAAGTTGGAGGAGAAAAAATAACTCTGCTCACAATTCCAGGTTACAAAGGTCTTCACATCGAGGAAGCCAAGATGGTGGCAGGTCAAAGCAACTGGACACATCACGTCACAATAAAGAGCAGAGAGAAATCATCCCCGTGCTTCCTGCTCAGCTCGCCTCCTCACAAAGCCAATACAACTAAGACTGCTCTGTGATCCAGCATCCGTGTCGCCCCTGGTCACACACTCAAAACATCAAGCAGCATCCATGTTTATTACTTTACAACCCGCAGTAGCCAATTAAAGAATCGGAGTGTCCATCAACAGATAAACGAGTGAACATATGTATACTTACTTAAAGAAAATGTGACATATTTACATCAGAATCTTGTTCATCCACAACAAAGAGTGAAATTGTGTTATGTGCTGTGGACAGATGCACTGCGGATTGTTAAACAAAATAAGTTAGAAAACAGAGAGACAAATATCACATTTCTCTCATTTACAGGTCCTAGATTATATATAGATATATAAAGCTCTGCGTGTGTGTGTGTGTGTGTGTGTGCGCGCGCGTGCGCGCAAGCGTGTTTGCTGTGACACTATTCCTGGAGAGAGGTGAACAAGCATATGCTCACCTGGACAGGAAACCAATGAAAAACCAAAGTAAAGATAGATACCTCCACCCAAGTGCAATGAGATGAAGCCATGAATGTACTCTCAGGAAGGTGTGTGAGGGTCCCTTACAGGAGCGTGTGCAACCCAAATGCAGCCACGTCTCTGAAATCCCATCCCAGCCCGCGTGCGTCTCACCATGTCTGAGATCCCACTGAAATCAGGAACAAGACAAGGACGTCCACTATCCCACTCCTTTCCAATATTGTGCTATCTAGAATAATAAGGAAACTAAAGGGATCCAAACAGGGAGAGAAGTCAAGCTACCCCTACTTGATAAGATACTAGATATTAGAAACCCCAAAAATTCTACCAGGAAACTTCTAGAAACAATGAGCAAACTCAGCATTGAAGCCAGATACAGAATCAGCTCTCACAAATGGGTAACTTTAACAACAGTCACAAAGAAGGAGATCTTGGGCACACACCCGGTCATAACAGCCTGAAGGAAAAAAAAACATCTAGGAAGAGAGTGAAAGACCTCTACAGTGAGAATATTAAACCTCTGAGGAAAAACGTAGACACTAGAAAATAGAGAGACATACCATGTTCGTGGATTGATAATATTGTGAAAATGACCATTTTACCAAAAGCTACTTACAAATTCAAAAAAATCTCAATCAAATCCCTCATCTCATTCTTCACAGAAATAGAAAAAATATTCTAAAATTCATATGGAATCACAAAAGACCCCAGAGAGCCAAAACAATCATGAGCATAAAGAATCAGGCTAGAGGGAGGACCATTCCAGTTCTTAAACATACTACAGAGCCATAGTGATAAAAATAGTATGGCACTGCCACAGAAACAGACATGCAGACCACCAGAAGCTCAAAGACCCAGACATGAGCACACGTAACTTCAGCCACTTAATATTTGACAAAGGGGGCCAGAAAGTAAGCTGGAAAAGGAAAGTGCCTCCAACCAACAGTGATAAAAAAAAATGGGACATCCACACACAGAACAACAAAATCAGAGCCATGTTTACCACCTTGCATAAAAACTAACTCCACATGGATCAAAAATGTAAACCTGAAACCTGAAACTTCTGGAAGAAAACAGATTTAGCATCATGCATGATACAGGTGTCGGAAAGGACTTCCTGGATAGGGCTCCTTTTGTCTAAAAATGAAGGCCAATAATTGATAAAAACCAACAAATACTGCTCCTATGAGTCCACAGCTGTCATGCATTTCAAATATGAGGCCAACCTGGTTGAGACGTCCATCACCTCCCTGATAGCCAGGGCTGATTCGGGTGATGGGACTGGTTAGGTGGGTGTCTCCCTCACCGCTCCACATGCTTCCTTCCTGAAGCTTCACCTCCCGCTGAAGAGGACAGCCTTCCCCATAACAGACCGGTCTTAAGTCAGGGGTGGGAAAGTAGCCACGCTCCCCTGCTGGAGGCCTTAAACAGTCTCTCAAGAACGTGACGCATGCCAGTCCTGCTCTTACTCTCTTCTTGCCCCCTTACCACGATGCTTCCGGGCCCTAAGGAAGGGCTGTAAATATCTTCTTTGGGGGTGAGCGCTCAACTCTGCTTGATTTTCAGCATCTTTGTAGCCACCGGACTCTGCATTCACATCTGTCCACTGAAAGAGAGGCTTCTCTGGTTCAAGCTGGTGGCAGCCTTTCTCTGTGGCTATAAACATAGATGCCAAGAAGGCGGCTTGATGACCGTGTCAGTGTGTGTGTAAGCAGCAGTGGTGGGTTCTCCCCCACAGTGCCTAAGGCCTCCTTGGTTACGTCTTGTTGCTATGTGCTTGTTGGTTTGGGTTTTTAAGTGTGTTTAGAGTACTGGGTATGCATATTTGTTTTTTGACTCAGAGTCTTTCGTTGGCTTGGACCACACCCCTGGGATCCACCATCCCTCTGCGCTAGGACTGCAACTGAACCACTGCACTTGGCTTTTTTTTTCCAAATGCATTTATTTTTGTGTATTAGTGTGAGTGTGTCTTTCTGTGAAAGTTGCTGGGTGCCACGGCATGAACTCACAAGTCAGAGGACTTGTGGGATCAGTGAGTGCCATGATCAAACTCAGGTGGTCGGAATTGTCAGCACGTGTTTCCACCAGCTGAGCCGTCTCCTAGTCTCCGTCTTCTTCCCTCATTCCCCTTTCTCTTTCCCACACCTGGTAATGTTTCATGCCTGTCTTTCTTTTATTTATGCTTGCTTGTTGAGAAAGTGTCTCACTGTGTGTAGTTTAGACGGTCCCAGATATCCACAACGTGGACCAGGCTGGGCTTGAACCCTTGACAGTCTCTCAACACTGGGATTCCAGAAGGTCATCGCTACTCCCAGCTTTGAGGTTGTTTGTTTGTTTGTTTTGTTTTGCTTTCAATTTTAGATTTCCATTGCACAGATGATGCGTTTTGTGAGCACATTTTCGTGCAAGTACAAACTGTGCGCTGAACGCGTCCCTTTGCCCCCCCCTTCTCACACACCCCCCTTCGTCCCTTTCTTCCCCCGGGGCGGTTTCACTTCTACTTCCTCGTCATGTATGCATTCGTGATTTTTATGTAACTATACATAGTCTAGGAACCACAAAAAAGAAAGAGCATTCAACATTTGTCTTTCTAAAACTGACTTAACTCATTGACTAGGGTTGTCTCCAGGCACGTTCATTTTCTGCCAACCGCGTAAGTTTATCCTTTATGACTTCATAAACCACGTTGTCTCCATCTAGTCCTCTGTCGCTGGACACCAAATTTGGTTTTATAACTTAGCAAATTGTGGTAAAGGTTTTTCTTTTAGCTTGCTCTTAAGTTTTTTCCTGCCTATTTTGATTATTTTTAATTATGTCTATGGGGGGAGGGTGTGTGCACTTGGCTGCAGGTGCCAAAGAGAACCGAGGCATCGGAGCCCTGGAGCTGCAGTTTCAGGCGGTTGTGAGCCACCCGACTTGGGTGCTGGGACTGAACTGGAGTCCTCTGCAAGAAGAGGCCCCCGTAACCACTGAGCCACCTCTTGAGTCTCCCAACATGTTTTTTAAAAATTGTGTTTATTGTTTGAAAGCTTGGTACATTTATATAATGTATTTCAGCTATCTCCATCTCCCCATCAGTCTCCCTGTCCCATCGGAAGCCTTCTCCTCGGCGAGCCCCCCTCCTGTAGTCGTGTCTTCTTTCGGAGTGTGGCCCACTGAGTCCAACTACGGTGGCTTCCCTGAGTGCAGGTGGAAGGTTATTTATTTATAGGAGCAGGGAAAGTAACCAGTGGCCACAGCACTCAAGAAAGTGACACTCCCTCTCCCAGCAACTGTTCCCGGTGGAGACATGTGTCCCTCTTGGCCCCTTTCCCACCCGTGATAAACTTAATGTAGTGTTTCTCTACCCATCCCCAAGAAATATTAACACCCAGGGAAAGAATGTGTTCATTGATTTAGCCCAATTCTCAGAGAAAGTTCTGTCAAATATCAGATACCCAATATTTGCTTAAAGGATACATTACATTTAGAGACTGGGGAGAGGCTTGGTGTTGATTTGGGCTTGGACGTGAATTTGTTGTTTCTTATATTTCTGGTTGTGAGCCTAGCCTTTAACGGCTGAGCCATCTCTCCAGCCCAGAGTTTGTTGTTTCTTTGTCACAGGGTCTCGGGTAGCCTGGGCAGGCCTCAGACTCATCTTGGTAGCCAGATCGTTTAGACTCACCCTCCAAAGGCTGGGTTACAGGTGCACCACCATGTCCAGTGTGTTCCATGTTGGGGATCCTTTCCAGGGTTTTGTGCACGACAAGCAGACATCCTACAGGCTTTGTTACAGCCCTGGGTTCATCAGTTTCTGTTTGAGTTTTGGGGGGGGGGAGGTTTCACTGGGTTTTGGTTTGGTTTTGAAACTGGGGCTCATTACATTATAATCCACGTTGACCCTTAATCTCTGAACTCCAGATCTTCCTGCCTCAGCACGTGTATGTGGAAGCCAGAGGTCAGCCTAGGGTGTTCTTCCCCAGGAGTTCTCTCTCTCTCTCTGTCTCTCTCTCTCTCTCTGCCTCTCTCTCTCTCTCTCTGTGTGTGTGTGTGTGTGTGTGTGTGAGAGAGAGAGAGAGAGAGACAGAGAGACAGAGACAGAGACAGAGAGACAGAGACAGAGAGAATTTGCCACCACATTATTTATTTACTTTGTGTAAAGATTCCTATATGCATGTGTGCTCATACGGGTCATGGAACGTGTGTGGAGGCCAGAGGACAACTTTCGGGAGTTGGCACTCTTTCCATGCATGTCCTAGAATCAAGCCCAAGTCATCAAGCATGGTGGCAAGCACCTTTGCCAGCTGAGCCATCTCAGGACCCAACCTCGTTCTGAGACACAGTCTCTCACAGGACGGGGAACTTGGCTGTGTCCATTTCCCCGGAACTGGCACTACAGGCACATTCGGCCTCCCCCGGCTATCTTATTTGAGTACTAGGAATCAGATTCACGCCCTCATGTTTCCACAGCAGCGTTTACGGACTGAGCCCTGACACTGTTCCCCTTTTCACAAAGGAAAAAGCTTCTCAGCCACATACCACCTCTAGTCCTACCCGCTTTCCCTCATAGGAACACCACAAGCTTAGTCAACAGTTCCCACAGTTATCCACCCCCTTCTGACCAATGTCAGCTGAATTCATATCAAGGTCAAGTAATGTCTGACCAAGACCTTCAGGTCAAGGTCAAACCTAAGGAGCTTTTGCAGGAGCCATCAAGGGCCCTGAGACACTTGGCTGGGTTCAGTGTTTTCCCCTCAGGAGAAATCTCAGCCCTGAGCCCATTAGAGACAGAGACCAGAGTTGAGGGGAGAGGACAGCTCAGTCAGGAAACTGTCTGCCTTGCAAACATGGGGGCCTAAATTTGATTCCTGTAACTACCCTGACAGAGACAATTGGTGCTGCACAACCCCTAGGCTGAGGTGATAGACACAGGCGGGGCTTTGGGGCTATGTGACCAGGCAATAGTACTTAGCAAGTTCCTAGCCATTGAGAGACCCCGTTTCACAAAATAAATAAAGGGTGGACAGGCACCAACAAGACAGCTCAGTAGATAAAGGAGCTTGGACCCACATGGTAGAGAGAGAGAGAGAACCAACTCTCACAGGTTGTCCTGTGAGTGGGCACGGGGATTTCTACTCCTGTGCCAGCACCCCAAACTCACACCATAACTAAATAAAATGTTTTTTAAAAAGATAGATGGTGCCTGGATAACAGCACCCTAAGCTGTCCTCTGGCTTCTGAAGGCACACACACACACACACACACACACACACACACACACACACACACACACACAGAAAGTGAAAGAGATAGAGAGACAGAGAGGCAGAGAAAGAGAGAGGAGGGGGGGAGCACAAGTTCTAAAGAGAAGCTCCCAGCACCTAGGAAACAGCCACAGAGGCTGGAGCTGCCCCTCCCCGCCCCAGTGTTACCTAGCAATGTGGCTGGCCATTGGCTGGCTTTCTCCACACAGGAATTGAAACCACAGAAATGGAAAGGGAGGAAGGAAAGGAGATAGGATAGGGATAGGGTGGGGACTTAAATTTATATCTCTGTCCAGGGCTGGATGCCCCCCCACCAACATGGACACTGGTGGATACAGCAAGCTGGGTAGCGCCATCGAGGAGGTTCCCCGAGGTATCGTCCCCCATGAGTCCCTCTGTTCTAACGTCTGGGGGGGGGTGTGGGTTTGGGGAGGAGAAGAGACAAGACCATGCAGGAGACACCAGTGCGTGGACGGGACTGAGGAATGGTGAATCTGGGTGTGAGGAGGAGTGGATCCTGGGTGAGCACTCCCGAGGATCCAAAGGCTGGGTCCTGGGTTGGGGAAAGACATCCCTTGAGTCTCCCCCAGGAAACCTGGGGGGAGGGGCAGGTGTCATTCCTGTCATAGACCCAGTTACATTGGCATGAGAACTAACTCTGATACCACTTAGGAACCATGTGGTGGAGGGAGGGTACTTAAGCTGTCTGTACGTCCATCCTGGAAGAATCAAGAAGCCATCGGTGTTCTACTAGGGCAGTTGGGACGCTGGGAGCACTACAAACAAAGGCTTTTCTTCCTGGTCTTGGCTTTCCTGGTGGCCACAGTGCTATGGGCCCTCATTCTGAGCACCCTGTTGTCCAAGGGTGAGTGATTCTTTTTATGTGTATGTTTGTGCCAGTGTGTGGCTGTGACGCGCGTGTATAAGTGCCCACAGAGGCCAGACAGCATCAGCTCCCCTAGACCTGGGGTTACAGGCAGTCGTGACCCATCGCATGTGGGTGGTGGGACCAAACTCAGGTTCTCTGGAAGAGCGGCTCCTTCTAACCCTATGAACCGTGTCTCCAGGCCACGGGAATGATCCTTTAACCGGGACAAGTTGTACGCCACCTGGCGGGGAAGGCATAAACCTGTTCCCTCTGTGATGCGCCAGATGGGGTCCTGGATACATATACTTACATTATGGTTCATAACCGTAACAAAACTACAGTAATGAAGCAGCAAAGGAAATAGTTTTATGGTTGGATGACCACAACATGAGGAACTGTGTTTATTAAAGGACTGCAGCATTTGGAAGGTTGAGAAGCACTGGTGTAAACCAAGCATCTGCTTGGCGTTGCGTGTATGCATTATGTATGCTTCCTATCCGTGCCTGGGTGCTGTATTCCGGGCCTGTGCCTCTGTGGATACCAAAGCACGGGTCCTCACACCCTCTGGGAAGGCGGAGGGTTTCCAATTCCTGCTTACTTCTCTCTGTAGCCTCCAGCGAGCGCAGGGCACTGCTGAGCCACCAGGACCTGCTGAAGACAAACGGTGAGTGCCGAGCTACATAGAGCAGGGCATCTGCGCCTCCTGGCGGTCAGAAGTGGGACTGCCAGGGATTCAGAGCCTGGGTAGTGAAGAGCTGAGGCCCCTGGAGATGGGTTGAACCTGGATAGGAGAAGGGTGTCCCCTGGCCTAATGGGAGGTGGACATGTCATTTCAGCCTCAGAGCAAAAGATGATGTTGAGTTCCCTGAAAGAGGATGTCGGAGGCTGCAGGAACTGCTGTAAGAAACGGGCTTGGTGGAGGCTTGAGAGCTTTGGGGCTGGAAGTTGGGACCCGTGGGTTGGGAGAGGCAATGGGGGAGGGGCTGGCTGGCCTCCAAAGATCTCCCTGTCCCCACACAGGCTCCGGGATAAAAGCGCAGTTGCAAACCACACTCGCTGAGTTTAAGGACACGCGGGCAAAGCTGATGGAGCAGGAGAGCGCCCTTAAAGAACTGCAAGAGCGTGGTGAGCGAAAGCCCTGACCTCTAAGCACAGCCACGCTACCTCTCGGTAGTATAGTCCTGGACCCTCAGGTTCCCAGTAACTGAGCCTAGGAATTCACCTTCGAGGCAGGCTTTCCACCGCTGAGCCACGCCCTGCGTCCTCACTGCAGGATCCTAAGCAAGTCTTCTACCTTTGAACCACACCCCAAACCCATCACTGGGAGATTCTAGGCAGGTGCTATAATACCAAGCTTATCACCAGCACTCATTTTACGTTTGATTTCTTTTGTTTTATTTGTTTTGTTTTTTGAGACAGGGTCTCACTAAATTGCCTAGGATGAACCTAATCTCTTTAGCCCAATTTAGCTTTGAATTTACAATCCTCCCCTCCTCGGCCTTCTGGAGTAACTGAAACCACCACACGGAGACTGAAGTTATTCTTGACCCTGATACGAACCATAAACTGACAATGGACGTAGATCTTGACCTATACGTAAGTCCCAATCTTCACCCCAGCGCTAAATGTCCACCCTTACGACCCGCAGTGACCCAGGGCCTGGCTAAAGCAGGCAGAGATCGTGAGGACATCCGCAGTGAGCTGCTCCAGGCACTGGAAGCTGTCAAACAACAGAACAGTGAGCCGGAGAGGACACTGGGGATGGGGGAGGAGCAGACCCTGCCTGGGGCTTTCAAGGCTTCGCCTTCCACCTGACATGCCCTTTTGATCTGAGCTTTGTTTCTTGGCATGCCACACCCTCCACGGCGTTCCAATGGCCCCATTCCGTAAGAAGCCATCTCCCTGTCCTCCCCTCCCCAACAGGATCCTGCGAGCAGTGCCCCACATCATGGCTGCTCTTCCAAGGCTCCTGCTACTATTTCTCTGAGACGCAGGCTGTGTGGGACACAGCGCAGAGCTACTGCTCAGCCCGCGGTGCCCACTTGGTGATTGTCAAAGGCCCAGAGGAGCAGGTATGCAGCTGGGACTTGGCAAAGCAGAACAGAGTTCGCCTGAGTTGGCGTGGCTCAGGATGTCAGGCAGATCGCCCCCACCCACCCCCTACCCCCACCACCACCCCCCCTCCCGCTGACATCTCCACTCCCTTCCAGGGTTTCCTGAGTCAGCATACACGTGGCCGAGGCTACTGGTTGGGTCTGAGGGCAGTTCGCCGCCTTGGCAAGATTCAAGGCTACCAGTGGGTAGATGGAGTCTCACTCACCTTCAGGTAAGGAGAAGGCTCCAAGAGAGAATTGAAAGGGGGTTAAGTTAGACCCTAGGGGGAAAGCTTTTGGATATGTCTGAAGACTAGATTCCTGGCTGGGGATTGTTGCTGATGCTTTGGGGCAGTGTATATGGTGCATGTGAAGCTGTGCACACCCATGCATGTTCATGCAAAAGCTAGGGGGAGAGCTCTGGGTATTCTATTCTACCATTCCTTGCTTTACTCCATTAAGACAGGGTCTCTCAGTGAACTTAGATCTGGTTTGACTAACAGCCAGAAAACCCCAGAGACCCTCCCATCTCCGAAGCCCACCCTACTAGGCTCACCAGCACATACACAGCCACACACAGAGAAGTTTTTTGTAACTACTTGGGATTGAGCTCAAGTCCTTACGTTTGTACAAGTATTCTTATCTACTGAGCAATCTCCACAGTCCCTGAACTAACCTTCTAAGAATGGAAAAGCAACCCTGGGAATTTACTAAGAGTTAAATTCTGAGCCCTTACAAATGTACACTGCAGATATAAACTCAAATTAGACATTCAGGGTGTCTATGCCAGAGCCAAGCAACAAGGGAAGGAAGGCTGGACCCTATTGTCAGCCCAGTCTCACAGTAACACCCACCACTGAACCACCACAGCCACTGGAACTCTGGAGAGCCCAATGACTCCAGAGGGCAGGAGGACTGTGTCATGATGCTACACTCGGGGCTGTGGAATGATGCGCCATGTACCAATGAGAGGGATGGCTGGGTCTGTGAGAAGAGGAGCAGCTGCTGATCCTGGCCAATGTCCCAGTGCCATGCCCATTGCCTCAGGGTGGATCAGAAGTCTGGCTCACGTTCCTCGGGCCCACTATCTGAGGATTTTTCTTCTAATGCACCATTACTAAGAGTCACTCAGCCTGACCTTCGGAGACCCCAGCTCCAACCCACAAAACCTCCCAGCTAACCTGACTTTGGTCAGTTTCAAAATCTCTGCTCTAAAGTCCTGGTCATCTGCTCCCCCACGTGCCCGCCTAGACACAGGGTTAGAGCTGTTCTATCTTCCTGCATCCCCCTATCCCATCCCTCTGAGTTGGAACTATCTCCACAGAGTGAAGAAGCACCAATAAATGTTTAAAAGATGAACCTAGGCTCTGGGTCTGTGTTGGAAAAGAGTGATCTTGGTATCCCACAAGGAACATAAAAAGTAAAACTAATTTATTTTCCTAGGAAAGGTGTGCCAAAACCGAAACTTGGCTAGCAAGCAGCACACTTGGCCAAAATGGTCTATGTCTTCCATCATTGATATAAGTGATGGCTGCATCTCATCCCATTGGTGGAAGCTCAACTTTAGAGTCTTTTATATAGGACCATTGGAGGGGCACTCTGACTGCTGTGCCCAATGACCAAGCTGAAAAAAAAAAACAGATCAATCATTGTCCCGATTTCATAATAGCAGTTAAGTTACCTCTTCAAAAATGGGGGGAGTGATTAAAAATTGTATAATGGCTGGGCAGTGATGATGCACGTCTTTAATCCCAATACTCAGGGAGCAGGCAACTCTGAGATACCATCTTACATCTGTCAGAATGGTCAAGATCAAAAACACTGATGACAGCTTATGTTGGAGAGGATGTGGAGTAAGGGGAACACTCCTCCATCCATTGCTGGTGGGAGTGAAAACATGTATAGCTGCTTTGGAAATCAGTATGGTGGTTTCTAAGAAATTTGGGAATCGCAGGGCGGTAGTTGTGCACATCTTTAATCCCAGCACTCGGGAGGCAGAGGCAGGTGGATTGCTGTGAGTTCGAGGCCGGGCTGGACTGACAGCCTCCAAAACAATACAGAGAAACCCTGTCTCGTAAAACCAAAAGAAAAAAGAAAAAAAGAAATTTGGGAATCAATCCACCTCAAGACGCAGCAATACCACTCTTGGGCATATACCCAAAGGATGCATACTCACACCACAAGGACATTTGCTCAACCATGTTCATAGACGTATTATTCATAATAGCCAGAACCTGGAAACAATCTAGATGCCCCTCAACTGAAGAATGGGCAAAGAAAATGTGGTATATTTACACAATGGAGAACTACTTAGTGATTAAACAAACAAAAACAATGACATCTTGAAATTTGCACAAAAACGGACAGACCTAGAAAAAAACCATCCTGAGTGAGGTAACCCAGACCCAGAAAGACAAATATAATATATAATATGTACTCACTCATAAGTGAATATTAGACATAAAACAAAGGATAGCCAGCATACAGTCCACAACCCCGGAGAACCTAGGTAACAAAGAGGACCCTAAGAGAGATGCCCACAGATCTGCCTAAGAGGGAAAAGACAAGACCTCCCGAGTAAATTGGGAGTGTGGGGGGTAAAGGGGAGGGTGGAATTGGAGAGGGGAGGAGGGAAGAGGAGTGGGGGAAAGATATATAGCTCAATTTAAACAAAGCCCCCAAGTGTGTTGGTGGTTTCATTTGTATAGCACGTGAGGGTAGGAGGAAAGGAGATCCTTGTCTGGTGCCTGGGCAGAGACGTGAAGTGAAAGCAGAGTTCTCAGCATTAAAAGTTGGATGAGGCAGGCCAGACGTTGGTGGCACAAGCCCTTAATCCCAGCACTCAGGAGGCAGAGGCAGGCGGATCTCTGTAAGTTCAAGGCCAGCCTGGTCTACAGAGTGAGTGCCAGGACAACCTCCAAAGCAATGCAGAGAAACCCTGTCTCAAAAAAAAAAGTTTGAGGCAGGGCCTGGTGGTGGTACACGCCTTTAATCCCAGCACTCAGGAGCCAGAGGCAAGCAGATCTCTCTGAGTTCCAGGCCAGCCAGGGTTACACAGAGAAAGCCTGTAATAAAATATTTTAAAAATAAATAAAGTCTGAGGCAGGAAACCAGGAGAAACCACAACAGAGATATTTTCAAATGTCCAAGTCATAGTCCATTAAAATAGTTTGATAGGCTCACACGTGCCTCCATCTATTGGGCCCACTATTGTGTTTCTTTGGCCTCTAAAACCGATCTCCAGAGTGCTGAACCTCGGGTCTGCTTCCAGACGCTGTGATAGCTGTTGGAGTTACTAGAATCACAGTTGAGCTCCCTCTCAGAGGGCTTCTAGAACGGGAGAGAGGAGACATCTAAGCATCATTTAGTTTTTAGGTTAAAACAATAGTGGACCTGACTGTCTGGGTCCCAGATAGTCACTGCAGTGTTGACTTGAGCCGAGGTCTGACGTCTCCTATCGGGGCAGCATTTCCCTGTGAAGCAGGAGGTCATTAGTGATGTACAGTTGTCTAAACAGCATCTCACATGGATTTAAGTCTAATTAGTCTAGCGAGTCCAGTCTCTCAGACTGTAACAGCCACACCAGTCACTTCAGTCTTTGGTTGTGTTTTCCTGCCAGGTGTTTAAGACCATGGAGTTGACCAAAACTAACGGCTTTTATTTAACCGTCGAGGCCAGCTAAGGATCTTGTCCTCGGGAGTCACTGAGGCTTGAGACACACCTCTAGGCTCATCTAGACTTCATTTTATCAGCTGCCCCACCTATGTGATGATACATCAGAGGCCTTGCTTGACCACAGCTTCACTTGGAAGCATGATTCTCTCTGTGCTGATCATCCTCTTTATAAACTAGTTAGAGCCACTGGATGGGGTCTCCATGGCCTCCATGAACATGAGTTACAGAACTTTTCGAGGGACCTAGCTGATTTTTGAGGGCAAGGGGAGCAATAGTATCCCTTTAATACTTCTGATCACATGGGTGTAGCCTTCTAGTATGGTTACTGAACACTCAGCAGGGGCTTTTAATTACTGTGTAACATTTAGGTAAAGCTTAGGCAAAAACCAGTGTCTCCATTGATTTAGGCAAGCTTCAACGTATTGAACTTGGATGTCAATGCAGTGAACTTTAACCCTAGAAATTTTGACATCATACATATCATGTCTACCTCTCATGTTTAACATACCTTAAATAACTTACTCAGACCTTCATAACTCAGATAAACTCTAGTCATTTTTAATATCATGAGACATAGTAACAGACAACAAGCACTGGGAAAAGGAGTGTCAAGAAGGGAAGACTATGCCGGGTATGGTGGCGCACACCTTTACTCCCAGCATTTGGGATGCTGAGTCAGGCAGATCTCTGTGAGTTGGGGGCCAGCCTGGTCTACAGAGGGAGTTCCAGGACAGCCAGGGCTACACAGAGAAATCCTGTCTCAAAAAAAATCAAAACAAACAAACAAAAAGAGGAGGAGGAGGAGGAGAAAAGAACATTGTATCTCAATGAGATAAACCAGGCCTGGAGACGCTGGACAGAAAGATCAGGCAGGAAGCCCAGCACAGCCAGCGTCTCTATCTCTAGCCCGAGCAGGCTGATTTCTCTTTGCCTCCAGCTGTTGTAGTCGCCCACTGGCAGCAGCTTGTCTAGTACCTGGCAGTGTATCCTCAGGCTTCTGGTTAGATCTTGGTGCCTTCCCAGCTTCTCTCTGGGCTATTGTAAATTCCCATGGGCTTTCCAAGTGTAGCTCTCTCAAAGCGTCAGCTCCCTTTAGTAGCTACCTAGTGGTGGAGGTACATGGCTAAGAAATCTCACAAGTCCCACACACACACACACACACAAAAAAATCCAGTAAATACACCATGCAGAACAATGTGTGCTGAGAGACTTTATCATTTATTACAGAAGACACAATTAATATTCTAGGTATCAACCTACCAGAATTAACCAAAGTCTGCAAGAAATGCAGACTCTGGAATATCTGTTGCTATGAATTTGACTGTATAACCTTGATATATAGAATATAAAAACTGTAAAACCCACCATGAAGCCTGGTATTGCCTCCTTAATCTGATATAAAAATGCATTGACCTTATCACTTGGAAATACAGCTCATGCTGGTGTCTCCTCTGGGTCTCTCATTTCTGAGAGAGTCAATTATGCATCAGAAAAATCAAGAACAAAACAGAAAAAAATGGGAGATTAGGACAGGTGAGAGGATGCCTGTGATTCAAGACACTTGAAGGCTGCACGGCTTTCCTGAGAGCTCAGTGGTATGGGGAAGTTTCATGAATGGTGCGATTTTGATTCATAAAATGTGATGCATTAACCAACATGGTGGTGAAGTCACATGGTTTTCACAACTTGATGAGGTCACTAACCAGATGGAGACCAAGTCACATGGCTGTCTCCATCTTAATGAGGCCACCAGCCATAGTGGTAACTAAACATGATTCCTTTTTGCTTATGGAGAGTTCCGCTCCGAGATAAAGTGAGTCCCTCCCCCAGGGACCAAGTTCTTACGAGATTGATACATCTCACAGATTCAATGCAGGGAGTTGCCTCTTTTCTTAATAAATATATAAAAGAAGCACCAAGTTAGGGTAAGACCACGCATGTGGCCTAGGACTATGGACCAAAAAAGCAAAGCAAAGAAATAGAGTAAGGATACCGTGACCATGGCACTGTTTTGCCCCACCTGAGCATGCCATGGCTGAGATGGGGAACACTGTCTCCTGAAGAAAATTTTTACCTAAGTTATTTCCCATCTGGCTTTGTGAGAACTAAGCTATCAGAGGTTCAACTTCCCTTATCCAAGGTTTCTTGGGCTCTGATAACCACCAGAGTCTCAGCTGCTCACAACAGAAGTTTTTTGTTGTTGTTGTTGTTGTTGTCTGATTTCAAGTGCTTTATCTATTGCCATTCATTCCCGACATGGGGTGCTGCCCTGTGTTAGATGTTTCTTAGCAATCAGAGGTCACCGAGGACACCCACAGAGCTGTGGATCAGGACTCCACTTCCAGGATGATTTGACCAACCAAGAAGTACTGTACATGTCCTAGTCTTCTGCAGAAGAGTTAACTGGCTGTCACAGTATTGTCTCGAATCCTCTCTCATTGCCAAGAGACTTCCTATCCTAGAATCCTTATTGGTCTTGCTGATTGTCATTCACCCGTGTTCCTGGAGACCACAGCCACAGGAATGGCACCTTCCCCAATGGAGGGAATCAGAACACTGTTTAGGATGGATTTGAAATCCTGACCAAGCCCAAAATTGTCAGAAAAGAAATTACTATTTATTTCAATTTATTCTCAGTGTCTCCAGAAGGAACACACAAACACACAAAAAGAAGTAACTTTCCA